TTATACCTCCTTCCTGGCCTCTTCTAGTATGTAGCAGGTCACCTGGACAGAGGCCAATATCTGTGTTTCCTGCTGGCTGCTCTCAGGTGACAGCCCCCATTCTTTAGGTGTGTCCATAGCCCACTGAGAGCCATTGTTCCACAGGCTCGGCCCTGCCCAATGCTTAACCACATGCAGGGAAATCTTCAGTGTTCATACAAGTACATGCTCATAATTGCACACACAGACATTATACAAACATAAGAACAGCGTACATAGGATTATCAGATAATAAGTTTCTATTCAATACCTCACCTGGCCCCCTCCTATACCATTTTTGGGGCCAACACCCCCACCTATGGGTGCATCAGTGATCTGGCTGCTCCCCTCAATATCCAGCAATGTGACAGACAATGCTTGTAGTTTACTGTAGAATTGGCTATGGATTTATTAACTAAGAAAAAGAAATGAGAGTCATTTACAGGTTAAAATAAGCAACATAAATACACAAATGAGTTACAATGTATGATTCCAAAAGATGACACTGTTGTAGTAATCTGTTGGCATTTAATGGCTTCTAAGGCTAATCCAGGTTGAACCTAGGGATCTCTGCTTTTGTTTTCCAGCTCCAGTCTTATGAAACTTCGCTTAGCAAAGATAAAAGGTTTTATGCCAGCCATTTTTATTTCTTCTTCCAGAATTCAGGCTTGTGGTCAAGCTTTCTTGCACATAACACCTTCATGGTTTCAAAAGTTCGGCGTCACAAGTAAGATTAATTCATGCAGCAACTTTGTCAGAGGCTGGGAATGGGTGACAGAGTTGGGATCACTTCTGTTCATTCCCTTTGGGGGCCTCTAGCATTGGCTATTGTTGAAAGACAGGATACTGGGCTATGTGGACCTTTAGTCTGACTAAAAGTGGCCATTCTTATATTCTAACTTGCAAGCTGTGTGCTGTGGGCAAGGCCAGCCCGAGCAATTTTGGCGCCCTGGGCCCAGGCGTGCAGTGCCACCCCCGGGCGCAGGGTGCATGCACAGGCACGTCCGTGGGGCTCGGGCCCGCCCTCTCCACCCCAGGGTGCAGAGACCCACCCCTGGGGGGCACGGCGCATGCACGGGCCAGCCACGGCCGCGCACATGCGCTGCCCAGCCCAGCCCGGGCAGCACTGCTGGCGCATGTGCAGGGCCCCACAGCCGTGGGGGCAAGGGCACTGCTGTCTGGCACTGTGGGGCGGCGGGCGCCGGGCGCGCAGCGCCTGATGGCAGCTGTAAGGGATGCCGCGTGCCCCTTACAGCTGCCTTCAGGCGCCCCTCATGGGTTGGTGCCCTGGGCAGCTGCCCGGCTCGCCCATGCCTCCGTCCGGCCCTGGCTATGGGAACACTATAGAGTGCAAACACATCATGCACTATAGAGCGCTGACACATTCCAAAGACAGCCTCCCCACCTTTTGATTCGTTACTGTGTAATTTGTTTACTTCTTCATTGTATCCCTCTGTTATATAATTGTCATGCCAATTCACTTTCAGAATATGGTCTGAAGAAGTGGGTCTGCCTCATGAAAGCTCCTCACCTAATAAACCATCACGTTAGTCTTTAAAGTGCTACATGACTGCTTTTTTTTGTTTTTCCAAGATCAGACTAACGCGGCTACCTCTCTGTTACTCCTCTGATTGGTGCTGCATGGACACTGTGTTTGTCCATTGTGGAGTATGTTGTATTGGGAGGAAAAGGTGAATCTTCTGTTGCTTCCTCTGTAGATGAATCACTATCCTAGTTGTCTGGGCTATAGTTAGCTCATTTCTTCCTGTTTATGTCGGCCAACTGTGCCCTGGGTTTGTTGGCTTCTGTAGGGCGCCCATGGGCCCCAGTAGGGCCACTGTGGTGGAAATGGTGGAGGTATCCATTGTGTCATCTGCCAGCTCTGGGATTGCTGTTGTTGTGTTGCAGCATATTGGGGGGCTATGCACTGGCATCTTATTTCCTTCTCCTCCTGAATGCTAAATCTCTCTATATTAGCGATGCTGGTGTCGGTGCTCCTGGCCCTTCGTGTGCCCTCAGTATTGAAGAGCTACATGGTACATCCTCTACCTGCAGGACACAGGACTATCAAATAGTTCCATCGATGTACATTTGTCAGGTATATCAGTGTTACACCCACCAATTCAAGGGTATTCCGTTTCCAAACTGTGACTATCCAAGTGGATCTCTGCAGGCATATAGCTGGCTTACTCCCAGAAACATAGATAGCCACCAAAGTCATATGAGCGCATTCCACAAGATTAGTATCTACCACGACCGCTTTCCTTAAGGGTCTACCCATAGACATTATCTGCAGGGTGGCAACATGGGCTTCGGCCAATACTTTTGCACAACATCACACAATTCAGATCTTTGAGGACTCAGACACTAGATTTGGATGTACGGTCCCGTCCAGAATCCAGTCCTGCATCATGGAGCTCCCACCGCCAAGCAGGAACACTGCTGCATAGTCACCCTGGAGCACCCACGGGGACCCTTGAAGAAGAAGGGAAGGTTACTCATCTTGTGCAGTAACTGGAGTTCTTCGAGATATGTCCCAGTGAGTGCGCCACACCCACCTTCCTCCCCTGTGCTCCAGGATAAGAGAGTCCGGTGTAGAGAAGGAGCGGAGGGAACGGCCGCCGGTGTGTGTGCAACTGTCATTCTGAGCGATTGCGCAATACTGCAGCATGCGCCAGCAGCTGGGGAGGAATGCTAGTAAGAATATCCAGGCCGTGTGCACAGCGGTGCTGACACATCTAAGTGGAGCACCCACAGGGACACATCTCGATGAACTCCAGTTACTCCACAAGGTGAGTTACCTTCCCTTTTTCTACCCTCATGTCTGTGCCGTGAACGTACATGAAAACACCTCTGAACTCCAGTGATCAACCATAACAACTGTGAATGGGGTGTGGTGGAGGGGAAGGGTGCTGGGCACGTTCAAGGAACATTTATTTATTGACTCTGTTTTAGTGACTTTACTCCAGAATGCTGGATTTGTGACTGGGAATCTTATAATAAATACACGTTTCCAAGTAGGCCAAGATTTTAAAATGCATTATTTTCCAAGATTGTTATTTCACATCATTGCTATCTTGAGAGGTTATTATCTTGGGGAGTTTCTGTACTCAACATTTTTATTACAATTAATTTTTTATAATCAGAATGGCCATACTGGGTCAGAGCAAAGGTCCATCTAGCCCAGTATCTTGTCTTTCAACAGTGGTCATTGCCAGGTGCTTCAGAAGACCAGCTTCTGATGGTCTCTAGGGACACTCAGGCTGCGTTTACACACTGTAGTTCAAAATAAGATACACAATTAGAGCTACGTAAATTGCGTATATTATTTCAATCTTGTTTCAAAATAGCTTATTTTGTAGTTTGGCACTGTCTATACAGCACCAAATTTTGAAATAACCTGCTATTCTGAAACGTCCCTTACTCCTCATGGAATAAGGTTTACAGTGACATTGGAATAGAGAGCCTGAAAAAATGAGCTTGCTGTTAAGACGCAGATAGCTATTTCAGGATACTCTGGTATCCCGCAATCAGGGCCGACTTATCCATTAGGCACAGTGCCTAGGGCCCACGATACTTTTAGGGGCCCACGAGAATGTTTTAATTTCTTTTAAAATCAGAAGAAAAAAAAAGAACTTTTAGGGTGGAAGAAAATGTTAATTTTTTTCTCACATCAGAAAAAAATGAAACGTTTAGGGCCCATGAAACTCTATTAAATTTTGCCTAAAACAGAAAAAAATAAAACGTTGAAGTATTTCAGATTATATCAACAATAATTGTTAATATTTTTTTTATGGAGGAAGGGGTCCACGAAGGCAAAAGTGCCTAGGGCCCACGAAAGTCATAACGCGGCCCTGCCCGCAATAGCATTGCAGCTAGACCTAGCCCCAGGGCATGGTGCTACACCCCTGCCCACCCTAGTCCACAGCCACGGAGGGACCAGGTCAGCGGCCAGGCAGCGCACCCCAGACAATAATTGTTAATATTTTTTTTATGGAGGAAGGGGTCCACGAAGGCAAAAGTGCCTAGGGCCCACGAAAGTCATAACGCGGCCCTGCCCGCAATAGCATTGCAGCTAGACCTAGCCCCAGGGCATGGTGCTACACCCCTGCCCACCCTAGTCCACAGCCACGGAGGGACCAGGTCAGCGGCCAGGCAGCGCACCCCAGCCCCATGTCCGGGGAGCCTGGGGCCGCCAGCCCGTCTGCGGTGTTCAGGGTTGTCCTGCGGCTGACCGGGCTCCCCGCAGCGTCCCGCACCAGGCACGTCGCTAGCTCGAATCCGTTCGCTGAGGCGCCGGCCGCTCTCCCGGGCGAGCTCGAGCCGCTGCTGCGGGGCG